GATGCTGCATCAAAGAAAAATTAAAATTAAAAGAAAAACAGTAACCTATCTGCTGGAAGACAAAATAGGCAAAATTCTAGAAAACATTGGCATAGGCAAAGACTTTATGATTAAAACTCAGATCACAAAGGAACTGTCACAAATAAGCAACAACTGAAATATCATCTTTTTATAAAAATTTTTGCAAAGCAAGAGAAACCAACAACACAGAAGAGACAACCCATAATAGAGGAAACATGTTGACCAGCTGTTCCTCAGACAAAGTATCAATAGCATATAAAGAACCTGAAAAAAATCAGACCTTCCAAAGTTAAATATCCAATGCAAAAATGGGCATCTGAGATGTGTACACACTTTTCAGGTACTGAAATAAAAGAAACAAATTAATATATGAAAAAAATATTCAGAATCACTGGTCATTTGAGAAATGCAAATTAGAACAACTCTGAGATTCCATGTCATCCCAGAAAGAATGGCCATCATCAAGAAATCAATAATACCAAGTACTGGTTGGGGCTGTGTGAAAAAAGAACATTTCTCCGGTCTTGGTGGGAGTATAATGTGGTGCGATAACTGGAAATCAGTGTAAAGACTCCTTAAAAAAACTAGGATTAGAGGTCCCATTTGACCTAGCTCTTCTCCTGGCATCTTCTCAAGGAAATTAAAAACACTATCACAGCACTCTGTGTACACTCATGTTTATAGCAGCACAATTGGTCACAGTTAACTCTTAGAAACAACACAAATGTCTATCAACTGAGGAATGGATAAAAAAGTTGTGGTCATTTTATAAAATGGAATACTATTCAGCCATAAAGGCTAAATTTGAGACTTGTATGTGTAAATGTATGCAATTTGAGAACATACTCATAAATGATATAAATCTGACCCGGATGTGTAAATATCATAGTGTCTCACTATGTGAAAGCTTAAAGTATATATGAGATGCAAAACATATCATAGATACAGTAAAATGGAAAGAAACCTCAAAAGAAAAGAAAAATTGGGATTGGGAAATGGTAAAAAAAAAAAAAAAGGCCCGGGGGAGAGGGCTCAGTGGTCTAAAGCACCTACTTAGAACAAGCTTAGCAAAAAGCACAGGGACTGCGGTTCAATCCCCCAGCACCACATGCCAGCCAGCCCACCCCCTGGTGGGCTGAGCTGGCCACACACAAAAAAAATAAATAAATAAAATTAAAAAAAAAAAGAAATGGTAAAAAAAAGGAAGGAAAAAGAAAAAAATATATATGTATGTATAATATAGTTAAGATAGTGTCTTGGTTACTTTTCTTTCATTCCTGGGACAAAGTGCATGACACCCAAAGTTAAAGAAGGAAAGGTATAATTAGCTCACAGTTTGTGGAGCATTCAATCCATTCTTAGCTGATTCCAAGGCAGAGTGGTACATGACAGAGGGCAGCAGTATATGATGGTGGAAAACAACAAAACAGCAAGAGCAAAAAGGAAGGAAGAGTGCAAGGAGCAAGCTGTCTCCCTTCCTTATACTGCCTTCAGGCTGCCCACCCCAGGGCAGGTGTAGCACTCACATCCATAATCCCAGCATTGGATC